GTTTGACACAGTTTTACATGATCAACATAGTATAAACACAGATACATTTGCATACATTCACCACTACATGTTCATGAAAGTGATAAAACATTCAAACAATCAAATATTTATTGTTAGACAAAAAAATCCTCCTTCATTAATATCATGCAACTTGTACTCACAGTTTCTGTGACTAGAATATCTTCAACGCCAAGTGAAAATCCTGATGTCGTCTGCAAAAATGTTGTAAATAATCTGCCAAGACATGTCAGTAACCGACCACATACTTCTCCACCATATAGCTATTTAAATAAAAAATAATTAAATAAACATTATTTGATATTTATAAGCCAGGAGTTATTCAAATATTCTTTTGTTCATAGTTACACTCATCAACGCCCTTGTCTTACCTCATGACAACAATAGACAAATCCATATGGTGTTGGGCCATAGCGGACCTTGGATAATACACCACAGAAGCCCCTCAAAAAACACTAGTCTTACCTCATGACAACAATGGACAAGTCCATAGGGTGTTGGACCATAGCGAGCCTTGGATAATACACCACAGAAGCCCCTCAAAAACACACTAGTCTTACCTCATGACAACAATGGACAAGTCCATAGGGTGTTGGGCCATAGCGGACCTTGGATAATACACCACAGAAGCCCCTCAAAAAACACTAGTCTTACCTCATGACAACAATGGACAAGTCCATAGGGTGTTGGGCCATAGCCTGCCTTGGATAATACACCACAGAAGCCCCTCAAAAACACACTAGTCTTACCTCATGACAACAATGGACAAATCCATATGTTGTTGGGCCATAGCGGGCCTTGGATAATACACCACAGAAGCCCCTCACAAACACACTAGTCTTACCTCATGACAACAATGGACAAGTCCATAGGGTGTTGGACCATAGCGAGCCTTGGATAATACACCACAGAAGCCCCTCAAAAACACACTAGTCTTACCTCATGACAACAATGGACAAATCCATATGTTGTTGGGCCATAGCGGGCCTTGGATAATACACCACAGAAGCCCCTCAAAAACACAGTCTTACCTCATGACAACAATGG